CCAGCGGTATCGATGACCCGGGCCAACGACCCCACTGAGGTTAAATAGCTGAGTTTCCCTGCCAGTCAGTCAGAACTGAAGAAGTCCTTTGGATGAGGGACGAAACGTCTTCCAGTATCTTCAACCAAGTCCAGTTGCCCTTGACTTTAACCTTCGTTGGATAACTATGACCTGGATGACTGAGAATCTTCATAGACATATGAAGGTAAACATTGTTTAATTTCAAATACAAACTTGAAGTGTATTAAAAAGAAAAAAAGTGACACTATGTACAAATGTACTAATTTGGGGAAAAATGATAAAACAACAATAATGCATAACATTTTGCACATGGTGTGTACTGTATCTACATATTAATTACATCGAACAAACCTCAGATGGAAGCCCGGGGGAGGAGCTAGGTACAATTTATAATTGTTCCAGGGCAGAAGAAAACGAGGAAACAGGAGTATGTTGCAAAGAAAAAGGGGATTTATTTACAATAATTAACAAAAAGTGTAGTAAACAGAAAACAACTCCCAAAAAGTGAAGCGAGCAACAAGGGTCATTTTAAAGGGAACTAAGGCAATGGATAAACACAAATGTAAAAGTAGTGTAGGCAAACTAGCACACACAAGCACCCGGTGCAACACAAAAACACTAAATCACTACACTTATCCACTGTTGTAACTGTCGGTTACTGTCTCTGCCAACTGCCACACGCTCGCCGCAGACTCCAAACACTCTCGGTAAACACCGTCTCTTTCACTGTAGACCACAATACTCTCACACACAGCAGCTTCCTTCTCCAGAGAGAGAGTTGAATCAGCCGCGCTCCTCAGACTGCTGGCTGCAGCATTCGGGGCGGGGCAAGGTCCTGCTTAGGGCAGAGAGGAAAACACACAGAACATCCTATATACACATACAGTAAACGGCTCACGGGTCGTAACATTAGTCTGACGCTGATGCAGGGGGGGTGATGGCATCAAGGCTGAAAATACTAATGCAAAAATTACAGCAATAAAAGTGCAAATTTGCGAGGGGATGACTGTGGTTATTACTTTACTCTTCAATGTATAAATGTATACATTCGCAATGTTCTTGGAGCATTCAAAGGAGTTGACACTAACACAGGTAAATCCAATCGACAGCTATTTGTTTTTTTACATTTTGCCAAGTGCTTACAAAAGAGAACAAGACAAATGAATGGGCAAGAAAACTAAGATCTCTGCTTTGCCAAATAATCATGTGTCTCTTTCATTCAGATCAACTAGTCCTCTAACGCCTGATTTACTGACACATTATTATGTTACTTCAGACCCCTGAGCCCTTCACAATAATACCACAAATGCAACAACGATAACAATCAGAAGAAGCAATAAAAACAATATTAAACTGTTGCAAGAATGCCAAATTATTGATTAAATAGGTACATTTCTTACAAACTGTTAAGCAGTGATGGGGACTTGAGTTTGAGACTCGGACTCGAGTCCGACTTAAGTCGCACACTATTGCACACACTACACACACAATATTGCTCAGCTGTTGATTAAATTAAATCCTTTTTAGGTGGTAGTTGATTGACACCCTGCAACTAAATCTTGAATCAAATAAAGTGAACAATGCAGTGAATCCTGTAAAAATATTACATCAATATGGAATTAACTGACAGGACTTTCCTCAGTGCTGCTGTCTTCTTTATGTGTCACCACTAAGTTTGAATTGTGATATTGTAGTAATGCTGCGAGGCAGAAGAGGGGTTTGTGGGACTGTTGGGAGTGGCATAAACAGCTCCTGAACCTGGCATCTGGGGGCGCTCCTGCATCTCTGCATTGGCACGATCCTTCCAGAGCAGAATGAAAAACAGAAGATGATTAGTTGATGCAGTCCTAACAATAAGCATCATACAAAGCTGCACTGGCTTCAATGCAGCCAGAACAGTCCTCATCTTTTCATCCAGACCATCATCAGGCCAGAGTTTTCTCTTACCCAGTGAAATATTTCAACATCTACACTGACACAGAGTTTGGTCCAGACAATCATCCATCCTCATGACATGGTGATGCCCTGACTTTTCAAGTAGTGTTGCAATCAGTCAAATATATCAATTAGTCTAACACTTGTGCCAAATACCTGCAAAACTCAGATTCCCATCAGTCTCACCTGTATTGGGAGTTTAGTAGTAATTAAAGTTTAGCTAACACGCTGTAAACTGTGGCAGGTTAGTTTACATCACAGCAAAGAAAGATGAAAAGATGATGTAAAATTAAAGGTTCAATGTGTAATAATTCTGAGGATTTATTGACAGAAATGCCGCGCCTCATAAAAAGAGATGCTGAAGGGTACCTTTGGGGTCAAATAACTACGTCTTGTCACTTTATCTGAAAGCGTTGGTATTTGATGCCCTGTGATGAGAATGGCCTGTAATGAACTGTTATATTTTTACAACCTTAGAATGAGACATTTATATCCAAATATCTGCAGGTTCCCCCTTACATGGACGTCACCGTATTGTATTTCTACAGTAGCCGACAACGGACAAACAGCGCTACAGAGCACGCATTGTCATCATGGTGTTCTTCTTCTGCTTGTGTAATTCCAGCAGTGTAGATGCCCGTCACTACATTGAATGCGTACAGTCTCTCAGATCAGCCAGCTAAAATTTTACTGCGCTGGTAGAAAAAGTATGTAGTTGGATTGTAATTTCATGTAGTTCTTCTAGCGCTCTGTTATGGCCGTTACCTCAATGAGTCAAGCAGCTGATGAATATTATTGGCAATAAGACGGTAACACATTTTACTGCCCTGATGGAAAACATGTATTTCTTTTTACTGCTAATGGTGATAGAATTACATGACTTGGTGCCTGTCAAGTGACCAATACTATTGCTTCGCTACTGTGCACACAAATGTGTAATTTGTACTTTTGCATGCTAAATGCCCATTAAAAACGTTGCACGTAAGATTTCTGACCTTTTAGTCCCATACGCACCAGCACGTACCTTGAGATCCTCGGGCAGAGGTCTGTTGTCTGTTCCAGAGTCTCGACTGAAAACTAAAGGGGACAGAGCGTTTGCTGTCAGGGCCCCGAGGCTCTGGAACAGCCTGCCCGAGGAAATCAGGTCGGCTGAGTCAGTGAACTCTTTTAAGTCCCTTCTTAAAACATACTTTTATAGGAGAGCCTTTCCCGATCTTATTTGACTTTATTTTATCCCTTTTATTTTATTCTATTTTACTTATTTTATATTTATCTGTATTTTAGTCTTTTCAATGTTTTCATGCTTTTATCTTGTATTGTTTTTGTATTATTGTCTCTTGGGTATTATTGTCTTTACACTTGTTAAAGCACTTTATAACTTGTTTTTTGTTATTATTATTTGCAGATTGCCCATATAATTAAGCAAAGGGAGACATTTGGTCATACTACAAACTATTTACTTGTATGTTATTCCAGATGAGCAAACCCTCCCAAGAAGTAACAAAATGTGTGATTACATTAATATACATACAGTGACACAATGTCTCATGTAGTTCATTTCTTGATGTGGCCGTTGTTTAATGAACAAATAACAATAATACTCAACCCTCGCAACCCTCACTAGATGTCTCTAAAACTTTCACACTTAACCTTTAATAATAATAAATTACAAAGCATTTAAAGGTTAGAGACTTTAAAGAAGAAGTGCATATCAATTCAACCTATAAATGGTGGGATACACAGTAAATTTGCATAGCAAAACATTTTCTTCAACGGAAACGTTGGTGCCTCGAACACCCTGATTTTTACGCGCACTGCTTTTTCCTGCCTTTTTAACACTGTTGTGTTTACAAACTTACTCGCAGCTGATTGGTTAACATGTGTGACATGCACAACAAACAGAAGAAAACTTCCTCGAAGCCCGTTGTGGAATGTTGCACAACGTTGCAAAGAAACATGTTCAATCCGAAAACGTTGCAAACCACTGCAAAATGTTTTGAGATTGAACTCGCCCCTGTTCCCACTTTTCTCATTAGCCTTGACCCACTCTGCTCGCTCCTCAACTGCAACACAGTACAATAATTTACAAAAATGTGTACACTCACCTCGTCGTTGTTCTGTGCTTCTTCATTTCTTGTGTTTTTTGAACGCTTAAATACTGGAAAGGAAATGAGACAATGTAAGAAAGCAATGAGAAAAAAGAAATTAACAAGCAGAAAAAAAGTAAGTGTTTTCATTTAATATAATTTTATGACTTCACCATTGTTTATCCCAAAAAATTGGTATAATACTGAAAGCTGAACAGTTATCAATGTCCAGACATGAAAAGGACAGTGCAGACCTTTTAATTAATGTATGTATGGAAGCACTATTTGCTAGCCCACCTCTTGCCATTAACTAAAATGTGTGTATGGATATACAGTATGTATGTCAATGTGCGTTTCATGATGTGAAAACTGGTAAAGACATCTCTTACGTTTGTAGATGAGAACCAAATTAAGCCCAAACATCAGCACCAGCATAGCTATACGGACGACCTCAGCAATGGTTATAGTTTTAGTGTTATTATACACAGAGTCATCAACGTTTTGTCCCAGCCCTAGAAAACAGATCAACAGATAAATTGTAGCAAAGCATAGGAAAAAAATCACTAATTAAAAACCTAGAAACATGCCATGATGAGCCTGTGACTGTAACTGACTTGTCAGGGTGTCAGACACAGACTTGCTTCTTCAAATAAGAATCAAACGGTTCTAATTATTTGTATGGTCTGTATCCATTTTGGATGAAATGTGTTGCCTGAAACTGTACACGTGAAATAATTCTTTTGTTATTTGTTTGTATCAGTAATCAGTACTTATTGTGGATTTTTTTTATAAAGGGGAGCAGAAGCATATTTTCAAAAAGTGAATATGACATGATACAGTATTTTAAATCATGCAGTATCTCACTACAACAGATTACATCCAAACAATACACTAATGGGAACACTCACCTACAGTCATCACCAGTTTGTGGAAGAATGAGCTGCTTCGTGTTTCATCAGTGCTTTCTGCTCCACACCAGTATGTCCCAGTGTCGTCTGTTGTTACTCCTCTCACTGTTATGGTGATTTTTCTCTTCCTGTGGTAGTCATTGATGGAAAACCTCCCAGTGTTCTTGTTGCGCTGTGCGGTGCTTACTAGAGTTTCACATATAGATGGATCTTCTCCCTTACAGATGAATTTGTTTATCAGAGCACCATTTGGATATTTACACCAGTATGTAAGATTCTGTCCAACAGTTAGAGACTTTGTGAGGTTAGTAATATCTGTAGAGAGACAGAAAGACAGCAGGTCTATCAGTGACTGTAATGTAATGTGACTGTTAAAAACCCACTGTGTTTCAAAGACACCATAATTATCTGTGGGATTTAGATAAAAGCTCAAAGTGTCAGATGTTTGCTGCTCACCTTCAACCTCCAGCTGTATCTTTCTGAGAGCAGCTCTGTAACTTCCTTCATGTGTTTCCACTCCACACCAGTAGACACCAGCATCATGTGAGGACACCTTACTGATGGACATGCTAAAGCTACTGTTGGTTTCTGTGAGAGTGAATGTCCCCTTTGACTTCAGAGAGGATTTTGTTGATAAAATATCCTCACAGATTGAACCTTTCTGTTTGCAGAAGAACTTGTATTTGTTTCCTGTGTAATCACATGTGATGGTGGTTTTAGCTGTTCTGTACGCAGTTTGAATAAATTGTCCCTGGCAGCCGTCTGTCTCTGAAATAAAAAAGAAAGGTACAACGTGGAATATGTCCATTACAGTATACATGCTTGTCATGACTTGTAATGTGTGCTTAATGGCAAATTGGCATCAGGCATTGAAAGACATTTAAAAAATTTAACTGTATTTTGGTTTTTACATTATACGTCTATCCCTCACAAGGGACATACATCTTTCTTTATTTGTTATTTATTGTTTTCTTAGTGATGTTTTGACAAATGTCACTGTGTCTTTGACACTGCTAATAATAATAATAATAATAATCATTACTTTATTTGTGTTGCATTTTTCTTAAAGAGAAGCTACACAAAATTATTTTTGTGCTGTACACGTAATCACATAGATTCTTGTTGGCATGTGATGTTAATTCAGGTGATTTCCAACAATGCAAATATTGTGTGTGAAAACCATAATGTAGTTGGCAAGACTCAGAGGTTGAGTCTAGTAGGTAGTTACCCTTTAAAACAGTTAAGTGCTTTAAAAAAGGACAAGAGAGACAGTATTAAAAAAAGATGCAGCATATTTTACCAACTTCCAGTTTCACTTTATCGTCACTGGATGAGTCTCGTCGTGTAAATTTACAGGTGTAGTCCCCAAAGTCCTCAGGTTCAAGTTGTTTGATGACCACCCTGAGATTTTTATTGTTTGTATCATGGTACAGGGAAACTCTGCCTTTGTTTTCCCATACATCCTTCTCACAGCTTTGTATGGTTTTTTTGGGAGTAACTACAGAAATTCTTTGATATGTTTCATGTTGTTTTGGATATTTGCAAGTGAATTCAATCCATCCTTCTTGGCATCTCTTCACTTCAGAATCTTCAACAGACTGTTCAGACGAGTCCTCATAGCCTGTAGATCAAAAACAAAAGTTCACATCATGTCAGATTCTGAAACTGTTTCAGTGCTATAGTCTGAATCTGATCTCTAGCAATTTATATATCTCTACCAGAATATGATCTTGCCTGGATCATACTACCAAACCCTTGCAGGATTAATCCCGACACACACACACACACACACACACACACACACACACACACACATTATTTCCTGTTCACCAAATGAGTTTCAGTGTACTTATGATACTTCGTTAGCTGCTCTATAAATGAGTAATAGTTAGAGCCAGTCTGTTCAAATGTAAATGTTTGGACACTGTTTCTTTGAGATTTCGAACCTGAATTTTGTATTTTGTTGCAGTTGCCTGCAGGATCTTCTCCAGACTCTTCAAACCAGGCCTCACAGCCTGTAGATTAAAAACAAAAGTTCACATCATGTCAGATTCTGAAACCGTCTCAGAGCCGTAGTCTGAACCTGACAATTGCAGGTGAATTTAACCCATCATTCTGGGAATCTCTTCACATCAGACTCTTTAGTCTCTTTACACTTTTTAGACCAGAGGTTGGCAAATAAGTCTGGCATCGGGCCAAATTGGGCCAAATTGTTTTCAAGTCACTAGATGGTGGGCCATAGTCAATTGATGAACTGATTTTTATAATCCAGCTTTCATTGTGTGCCTTGTTAGACCAGTCAGTAGTGAACAGGACTCCTGCTCAAAAGGTTGTGTGTTTACTACCCACTTGCTGCTAGTATAATTTTCTCCTTTTTCAACAAATTGATTATTAAGAGATTGTTTAACATGTTCACAATTAAGCATGTGCAGGAGTGTGTTCCTCCTAGAGATTGGTCGACATGAACCTATGGACGCTTATTTTCATTTCCACTCTATCTCCAAGGAAGTTCCTGCGTTTCTCATTCAGGGGAATCCAATCTCACGTTTTCTGTCGGCTTTTTCAGAGGTGTGTCAAGCAAGACAGAGACTCTTTTAAATTTCCTTCAGAACTTTTCAAGTTAAACGCTCTCAATTAAACATGACACAATCACTTAATAGGAAGTGATTATGTGAGTAACCTTTGCTGTCATGACTAAGCTGTGTTTTAGCACCAGCCGCTGTATATATACAGTATAGCCTATATACTGTGTGTGTATATATATATATATAAAGATGCTATCAAAGTAATCGAGCCACCTATTGTGGCCACTGCTTTAGACTGTTCAGACTGTTTAGACAAGGCCTCACATCCTGTAGATCAAAAACAAAAGTTCGCATCATGTCAGATTCTCCTAAAATCTAGTCTCCGCTCCTCAAATGTAGTTAAATATACAATATAAGTTAATATTGAGAATAGTTTTATATATGAATTCTGAAAGTTTTATGAACAAAAATTATATTTCCTATTCATCAAATGACTTTATACATACTTCTATCTTCCCTTAACTACTGTACAGGTATATAAATGAGTAATAGTGAATGAGTGTAAATATAGTACACTGTGTTTTCACACTGTAATTTTGAAAATTTTCACCTGAGTTTTGTATTGTGTTGCAGTTGCCTGAGTAATGGAGTTGGACAGTATGGCAACACAGTATACTGAGGTAGGATTTCAAGTCCCATTACAGGTAACACAGCACACTAACACAAAAGAATGAAACCAGACCACAGAACATTCATCAGTAATATGAACAAGCATTCGTAATTGTTTTACCTGCCATCAGTAAGAGGATGAGCAGAAGACATCTCTTCATCATGTTGATTTCGGATGCTGAGTTCCTCAGTTAAATTATTTCAGTTTCTTCTGATGCGTTTGTCTCTAAATTTGGCTGGTCTCCAGCGTTGTGTTTCCTAAAAGTCTATCGGATGTTAAAAAAAACGTCTCACCCCCTTTCTGGGTGTCCTTCACCCGTTCCTTCATTTTCCTTCCTCATTATGTCTGGCTTGTGGTCAATGGCAGTTATTCAACAGGAAATATACGGAAAAATACGTGGAGAGAGAGAGAGAAAGAAAAATATGTAAACACAATACGTAATAGAATAAACATATGAGGAGGAGACATGGGACTTCATAATTTTTCATTATTTGGCATTGATTAAATAACTAAATTATATCATAAATCTGCACAAATGTGAAAACGAGTGAGTGGGAGAATTAAATGACTCATGGAAACAAGATGTTTTAGGGGAAGTTGGTGATTTCAGCTGCGTTAATGGCACGAGACGACAGAAGCTGTTACGAGCTAACCAACTTCATCCCAAGAAATAAGGGAACTGACAACAACAGTGATGGTGACTGTAAGTCTGACCATGAAAATGGTCAGAAAAAAAAGTATGTAATAAGTATGAAACATCCCCCACTGTCTACTTGTGGATTTGTGTTGTTGGCAAGTTCTGTAATGTGATTCATTTCCTGCCAACAACACAAAACCACAAGGAACTGGTCCTGATGACGTGGTGTGTTATACATTTCACATTTCATTATATTTTATTGTTAAACTATTTTAAATGAACTAATCTATAATAATCCCGCATGACTGCCCATCATTTTACCTTCTCCATCACCTGTTGTCAAGGTTTATCGTCAGCAACATCAGTGTAAAATGTTACTTTTTTTTTGAAATGGACATTTGGTAGCAGAGAGAGAGAGACAGGAGATGAGGGGTATGACATGCTGCAAAGGTCCCCTGATGGAGTCCATGTTGTAGTTATATGGTATTGATTTTCAGTAACTTCCTTTCAGTAACTGCTGAAAACTTTAGTACTGTATAAATACACCAAAATGATGCACTGAATTCTAAATTCACTGTCTAATTGACGTAGCTTATATAGCGGTCTAACTGATGACTAATCTATTCTTTGGCGTCAGACGTTAGACGTCTATTAACTTTTCACTGACAACCCAAATTCAGCCCAAATTCTATGTCTCTGGGCGATCCTACAATGTTTCTTGGCAAGGACAATTGACCCTTCGCTAAGCCCCGACCCCCTTAGTTACTGTTACTAAATGTTGTCAAATTTGTTGGGAAAATCTCAATCTCAAAAAGAAGCAGACAGTTTTGCAGTTGCATTATACATTTGAAGGTTGTATTCAGGCTGTCAAACTGACTCAAATTGATTTAAACTGACGTGAAAAAAAAAAAGCTAAAGCCTACTGATTACACAGTACAAGTGAACCACCACATCCCCGACAAAGACAACGATATTAAGGATCAACACTGTTCCTGTAAAGCTGGGTAGGCCTCTATTCATTATTACAATCATTAAGAAGCAGAACAGCAGGACTTTATTACGTTACATTCAGTAGGAAGTTAGCTAGTGTTAGCTAACTAACATTACGTTAGGAACAATATTTTAGGTTTTAGAAAGAGAATAAATCGTACTTCTCCTATCAACCTCTCTGGGTAGCAACTATAACTATTACAAGTGCCCCAGGAACGGCTTTTGACCACATCTTCATCAGCCAAAAAAAGCTTGAAAACGACTCTTTTCGCATTACAGTGAATGGAGCGCATCCATGAAAGTCTCGGACTACAGTTAGAGCGAGTCCTATACTACGCTGTGATTGGCCAGCTATGTATTCGGGGAATGGCTTAGCCAAGGGTCAGTTGTCCTTCTCTCACTGCCTCTTCACAAAGGTCACCCAACGCTCAGTGCTAGGGCCCCCTCTTTTCCCAATTTACATCACCTCACTAGGGCTGATCATTCACTCGGCTTCTCTTACCACTGCTAGCAGGGCCGGCCCGTGAGCGCCTGTGAGTCCCAGACAGATTGTGACAGAGTAATAACGTAGGTGGTAGTTTTACAAAATAAAAGTGTCATAACTGGACATGTCAGAGAACAAAGATGTAGGAGAGATTCTGAATGTGCAGAAGGTTTTGAACAGGAGCAGAAAACCTGCTGAAACACAGGAGCTATAACAAAAATTATAATAATAATTATTAAAATTGATGTGAAAAGGTGCCAGGGCTGCACATTTAAAGAGGTTACTTCCCTAAACAAAACAGAAAAGAGGAGGGAAGACTAAATAATGTGCTAAAACACAGCTTAGTCATGACAGCAAAGGTTACTCACATAATCACTTCCTCTTAAGTGATTGTGTCATGTTTAATTGAGAACGTTTAATTTGCACTTAGCAGAAGTTTTATTGAGTGAGAAAAGTGGATCTACAGAAGAAAACATTTTTGAAGGCAATAGTTAGAGAATGCCTGAGAGCCTTTCTGCATTTTCACCTGTGGCTAAATTTTGTGTTTCCCTTTATGTAAATTAAGACATTTGCACCATAAATTAATTAAACAATTATTAACAATTAATTATTTAAACAGAATGCAATATAAATTCTTACTTAGGGCTCCAACACTCTCAGGCACTGCTACATAGACGATACGCAACACTATCTGTACTTCCCGCCCACCAACTCCACCTTCTCAGCACAGATCACTGACTGTTTCTTGGACATATTTGCATGGATGAAGCACTTCTATACTAGATATGATCAGTCTATCTTTATCAACAGGCTATGTACCACAGTATTTTAAAGTAGCTGTAATTACACCTCTTCTAAAAAAGCCCCAACTTGATCTGGATGTGTTAGCCAACTATAGACTACTAACTATATCTAACCTTCCATTTCTCTTTAAGATCATGGAGAAAGCAGTTGCAAAACAGCTGTGTGACTTTCTACAGAGCAATAGTTTATTTGAGGATTTTCAGTCAGTTTTCAGAAAATTACTAACGACCTCCTTATTGCATCAGACAAAGGACTTGTCTCTGTACTGGTTTTATTAGATCTTAGTGCTGCATTTGATACCATTGACCATCAGATCCTATTACAGAGACTGGAACATTTCATTGGCATTAAAGGAACCGCTCTAAGCTGGTTTAAGTCCTATTTATCAGATTGATTTCAGTTTGTACATGTTAACGATGAGTCCTCCATGCATGCCAAAGTTAGTCATGGAGTTCCTCAAGGATCTGTCCTCGGACCAATCCTCTTCACTTTATATA